GACCTCTCAGGGCGACTCCGCTTCCGGCTCTGCCGGGGGCAGGGCCTGGCGTTACCTCCACTTCCGGGGGCGCAGGAAATGCGTATTCTCCGGGATGGTCACGGGGTCCCGCGCGGCCAATCCCCTCGCAGCTCAGTTGCCAAGCAACGCCCTGGCGCCTGCGGGGCCTGTGCGGTCCGGGGCGTCTGGAGAAAGCCAGAGCTCTGGAGCAGGCAGCCGGCTACCGGTGCTGGGAAGGCACTTGGAGAAAATGTCCGGCTCCGCGACCCGGGACGGGAAGTGATGGAGTAGGGAGTTAGTTAGCCTTTCAGTTCTTGTATAAAAAGAAGTTTTGACGTGAATGTGATTCAGGCTAACAGTCGGAAACTCTGGGCGGGGCTTGGTAGCTCACGCCTGCGATCCCTGCGCTTTGGGAGGCGGAGGCGGGCGGAGCTCCTGAGCCCAGCAGTTCGGACCAGCCTGGGCAGCGTGGCCAGACCCCATCCCTACAAAAATTACAGAAAATAGTCGGGCGTGGTGGCCCCTGTGGTCCCATCTACTCCATGGGCAGAGGCGGGAGGATCGCCTGAGCCCGGGAAGTCGAGGCCGCAGGGAGCCGAGATCACTGCACTCCAGCCCGGTGGACAGCCGGACTCTGCCAAAAAAAAAAAAAAAAAAAAAAAAAAAAAAAGCAGGCCGTGCGCAGTGTCTGACGCCTGTAATCCCAGGACTTTGGGAGGTCGAGGCCGGTGGATCACCTGAAGTCGGGAGTTCGAGACCAGCCTGACCAATATGGAGAAACCCTGTATCTACTAAATGTACAAAATTAGCCGGGGGTGGTGGCGCACGCCTATTCCCAGCTACTCGGGAGGCTGAGGCAGGAGAACTGCTTGAAGCCGGGAGGCGGAGGTTGCAGTGAGCGGAGATCAGGCCGTTGCACTCCAGGCCTGGGCAACAAGAGCGAAACTCCGTCTCAAAAAAAAAAGAAAAAAGGGAAAACGCATTTCGGGTGGGAAGGACAGTGTGCAGCGTTCTCGGTTGTCTGTTCCGCCCGTAAAAGCTTCCCTCCTTTAGGTTTAACCTGCGCCCCCGCGCTCTGCCTCAGCGCCGCCCCCGACGCCTTGCAGCTGGCAACACTGGGCGCCTCCCTGCCGGGTCCCTTCCCGCCCCTTGGTGGTGGTGGTGCAGCCCTGCCTCCCCCGAGACAGCACTGCCTCCGTGCTGGACACAGTTCTGCGGTGGAGCCTGGAGTGCCTGTAGCACCAATCCCCGGAATTGGGAAGTGCCCAGCTTTGGGCCACTGTGATCCCTGGGTCTTTGCCACCTTCCACCCCAGTCCTGTGTCCTGTGTCCTGTGCCCCGGTTCAGGATACTACAGGCTACTACAATTATTCTCATTATTTCGTGGGGTTTTTCCAGCTTTTCAGGTTCTTCAGTGCCTCATTCCACGAATGCTCTTTTCATCCTCGTAGTTCCAAGCGTTGTCTCTGAATTTTCACTAATTTGCCTGCCAAGATGTTGAATGGACCCAGAGCCAACGACGTGGTCTTTTATCAGTGGCACCTGAGACTTTCTTCCCTGTGGACGCAAATCCATTATTCAGCACTCTAGGCACAGCTATAGATCTGATCAGCTATCCATTCTCCAAACTATCTCATCCTCTGTCCCATTTTTCTGTCTCTCTTGTCCACAAGGCATATACCTGAGAGTTTTCAAATTCCTCAAAGAAATTTAGGTATTTTGTGGCTTTGGCATTCACTTAATGTGTTAATCTACAAACCTCTTCTACAATGTGGATTTTTTTTTTTTCATGATGTAGTGAATTCAAGTGGTTTCTAGTGTTCTCTTCATAAAGTTGTAAAGCAAACATAAAATTCTAAGGCCCCACCCATCTGAATGGACCCCTTCTCTGAGCCAGGGCACTCCAAATTAACCTGAAAACCATGAAGCGGGGGTGGGACATGGCTGACTATGCCCTCCCCCCTTTTGGAATTCAGGGGACGCCTGCTACCCCAAGGCTTCATCTGCTGATAAAACTTTGGTCTCCACAACCTCTTATAACCCAGACATTCCTTTCTGTTGGTAATAACTCTCAACTAATTGCCAATCAGAACATTTTTAAATCTACCTATAACCCAGAAGCCCCCACTTCGAGTCGTCCTGCCTTTCTGGGCTGAACCAAGGTATATCTTAAATAGATTTGATTGATGTCTCATGACCTTCTAAAATGCGTAAAACCAAGTTGCACCCCAACCACCTCCTGTGGGCTGTGTCATGGGCGTGGCCACTCTATTTGGCTCAGAATAAATCTCTGCAAGTATTCACAGAGTTTCAGTCTTTTCATTGACAAAGTATTCATATCACTTGTTGAAGAATCCTTTCTAGAAACTTCCACAGTTCTTTGATCTGTAGTTTCTGAAGTCCATCTTTATTCTCCTTCCCATCACTGGCTCCTGTTTTGTTCTCCAGAACTCTGAAAATACTAACAACTATGATTTTGTGACCCAATCTGGAAGTTCCTCTTACAGGGAAACCTCAGCAAGAAACAGCTCTAGCGCTGGACGCAGTGGCTCACGTCTATAATCCCAGCACTTTGGGAGGCTTAAGTGGGAGGATCGCGTGAGGCCAGAACTTTAAGACTAGCTTGGGCTATTTTAAATTTTTAAAAAGTGGGGAGCATCTCAGTGACTGCAGCAGGCCTCAGCCTCCATATCCCAACAGTGAGTTGGGCTGTACTGACTGTTGGCCGAGTCTCCAACCTGGAGTACCACAGCCATCATCACCCATGGCACCCAGGAGTGTTCCCTAATGCTTTCCCTTAGTTCTAGGGGCAGAAAATGCCTTCATTCAAGAGAGGACACACTTAATGAATGCAACCAGCTAGAATCCACTCTAACATTTAAATATGTGACTTTGTTTAATCCTCACCATGCCCAGGCACCACATCCACATTTTACTGAAGAGAAAAATTATAGTTCTGAGAAGGTAACTTGCCTAAAGCCAAGCATGCAGTAAGAGGAGATTCAAGCCCAGATCCTTTTGTGCTTTTTCTACCTCATCTCAGTGGCAGCAGGGCTGACTCTTGAAAGGGAAGTTAATTACTATGAATTTAAGGTTTAAAGAAAAAACACCCTGGCCGGGCGCGGTGGCTCATGCCTGTAACCCCAGCACTTTGGGAGGCCGAGGCAGGCAGATCACAAGGTCAGGAGATCGAGACCATCCTGGTTAACACGATGAAACCCCGTCTCTACTAAAACTACGAACAATTAGCCGGGCGTGGTGGCGGGTGCCTGTAATCCCAGCTAGGCGGAAGGCGGAGGCAGGAGAATGGCGGGAACCTGGGAGGCGGAGCTTGCAGTGAGCCAAGATGGTGCCACTGGACTCCAGCCTCCCTGACAGAGCGAGACTCCATCTCCAAAAAGAAAAGGAAAAAAGAAAAAAACACTCTGCGTGCATACTCATACGAATGCACAAATGGATGTGCCTAGAACAAGAGATACTGGCCTGATATATACACAAACTATGCAGCTGCAGTCCACGCCTCTTCCGCAACCCTGCCCTCTAAGAAACCTCTAGCTCTGAATCCTGTCAGCACCTGGGCTGTGCTGCGTGGGACAACATTGTCTTCACAAGTCCTCTCCACATTCTCAGAGGCGGGGGTTTTGCCATTGATGGGGGATGCTGCCTGAGTCCCATCACCAGGGACAAAGCTACAGCGGAGACCACCATCTGCCAACAAAAAGAGAGATCATCTCCCACCCCTGGTTCTGCTGACCCAATCACTGGAAGCATCCAGGCACCACGATCTCACCTGCCTCGGATTCCGTTTCCTCCTAGCCAGGTCTGTTCTAAGCTTCCCAGAAGTTGAGAAATTAACTGAAAGATAACACTTTCCTCCCTGTGTTAAGGTTAATCACATAATGTATCCAAATACTGGGTCAGTCTTTACTGTGGTCTCATTTCTCTAATTTGAAAATGCCTTTTCTGTTTTCCTTAGAATTTTTCTAAGCGTTTCTGGGCACGTGTGTTCCACAGTGCACCCTCTTGTGCATCTGATGTCTTTGGCACATATAGGCCGTCGACAAGTATTTGTTGAATGAGCGGATGACCATCCTGTCCTTTATGTGAACAAGCATACGCAAGTGTACATTGTGTGTGTACATGTATCCAGCAGCATCTCTCCAAAGCCACTTTGGTTCACTTATTTTCTCAGGATTACTGACGGCTGCATCATGACATTTGCAAACAGAATCTTTCCTTTTCCAGTCACTTTTCCTTTTTCCAGATTCCGGCCATAGAATTCCAGGGACAGAGCCAACCATGCCTGGCACCCCCTCCTGTCTTGGGACAAGGATACTTTCTCCTGTGGCTCCCGTCTTCCTTGCAACATTCTTCTGCCAGAATTCAGTATGGAAGACAATGACCTGCCACTTTTAATTTTTTCCCGTTTTGCTCTTCTACCAAATACCGCTTTTAACACAGGCTTTTCACTGAGTAGTGGACAATCTATCAAATAGGTGCTGTTCGGTGTGAGGGGCATTTGCAAAGGTCTGCGTCAGTGCTGGCTGATGGAACTTTCCGGTGATAGCATCGTTCCATAGCTGCACTGTCCAGTGCGGAGGCTACTTGCCACTGTGTCTACTGCTCCGGACGGTGCAGGTCTGAATATCTCACACACAGCGGCCGCCGTGTCTACTGCTCCGGACGGTGCAGGTCTGAGCATCTCACACACAGCGGCCGCCGTGTCTACTGCTCCGGACCTGTCTCTTATACACATCTAGATGTGTATAAGAGACAGGGTCTGAGCATCTCACACACAGCGGCCGCCGTGTCTACTGCACGGGACGGTGCAGGTCTGAGCATCTCACACACAGCGGCCGGGACGGTGCAGGTCTGAGCATCTCACACACAGCGGCCGCCGTGTCTACTGCTCGGGACGGTGCAGGTCTGAGCATCTCACACACAGCGGCCGCGGTGTCTACTGAACGGGACGGGGCAGGTCTGAGCATCTCACACACAGCGGCCGCTGTGTCTACTGCTCGGGACGGGGCAGATCTGAGCATCTCACACACAGCGGCCGCTGTGTCTACTGCACGGGATGGTGCGGGTCTGAATATCTTAAACACAGCTCACCTTTTTGGTGCCTTTGATCCGTGTTAGCAATTACCCACATCTTCTCTCTGGGCAATATTCTACTTTCATTTTATATTGACCCAATTATTTTACCTCTTTGGTGTGTCCTTTCTCCTAACACATATGGGTTCACTTTGAAACCTTGAAACCCACATTTACAAAACATTTTCGGTATGAAACATGGTTCCATGACTCATTAGTGGAGTACCATAAACATTTACATTTCCAGACCACCCACTGCCCAGTGGTTTTCTTCGTCTCAGTACTCATGAAAACGGTCTGAAGGTTTGTTTTGGGTTCCTAAGCAGTAGACACACACACAACACTGCCTGTCAGCTATTTCTCAGAAACTAAATCAGCCTTCTGTTGCCATCCTATCATGCTTCAGAGGTGCCTGTGCTAGTTTTTAATTCTTTGTCCTAACACTTAAACGTCTGCTCAAACGTCCATATAAATACTTCCTCTTAGTTTACAAAAGGATTTACTTTCTTACTGGTTGGGATGAAGCTGTCTGAGGTTGCCACCTGTTATTATTCCTTCATTTATTGGACCATGTCTGCCATTGGAGGTTTTCAAACTGTGGTCCCTGGACATGTTAGAAATGCAAATTCTCAGGCTGAACCAGGACTGAATCGGAAGGTCTGGGGTGGGGTCACCCGAGGACTGAATCGGAAGGTCTGGGGTGGGGTCACCCGAGGACTGAATTGGAAGGTCTGGGGTGGGGTCGCCTGAGGACGGAATCAGAAGGTCTGGGGTGGGGTCCCTCCAGGTGATCCTCTTACACAGGTTAGAGAACCAGGGCATTAGGGGTGGTAATTTGACCTTTTTTTTTTTTTTTTTTTGAGACAGAGTCTTGCTCTTGTTGCCCAGACTGGAGTGCAATGGCTCACTCTCGGCTCACTGCAACCTCCGCCTCCCAGGTTCAAGCAATTCTCCTGCCTCAACCTCCCAAATAGCTGGGATTACTACAGGCACCTGCCACCATGCCCAGCTACTTTTTGAATTTTAGTAGAGATGCGGTTTCACCATGTTGGCTACGCTGGTCTTGAACTCCTGGCCTCAGGTGATCTGCCCGCCTCGGCCTCCCAAAGTGCTGGGATTACAGGCGTGAGCCACTGCACCTGGCCAGAAAAATCTGTTTTAGCATTAACATAATTAGTTATTAGCTTTAACTCCCACCCCACATAATTTCAAAGGATTAATACCAATAAGACAAGTAACAATGATTGATTGAAATTTAGGATTTCAGTGGCTCTATTTGTCTTTAGACTATGGCTCACTAAATCTGCACACTTGAAGTGCTGTGTTCTAGCGATGTTCTGACGACACATGAATAGGCTGTGTGACCGTCACCAGCCTGATGTGCACTTGGGCTGCAGAAACCCGTGATGCTGCCTAGCCCAGCCAGCCCCAGGTCACTCCTCAGATTCCAACTGGATTCTGACACCACAAGCACCTGGGACGCCGCCTAGCTTTCTCTGGTGGCAGGAGTACGTCCTGGAGTAGGCTGGGGGTGCCTGGAATTGACCGTCCTGAACCTGTGGAGCGTTGGCTGGTGAAGGAACGCACCAGCTCCCACAGTGAGCACGGGCCCAGCTGCCCTTGTGGGACCTGGCTCCTGGACGCCCCACGACACCACCTCTTTCCTGTCCCACCTCCTGCTTCCCTTCAGCTACTGCTCAGGGCCACCTTCCAAATTTTGATCTCAGGGTTGGTGCCTGTAGAATGCAATCCAAGGAATTTAGATTCATTCATTTCAGATACTATTCTTTCAATTTTAGGGACTATCTTAAAAACTTAGTTTGGTAATATGTAAAACATTTAAAATTTCAAGGTCCAGGTATTACTTCAGAGTCTATTTTGGTCTCACTTCCACCACTGACCCCTGTCCTCCACAGCAACCACTTTAGTTTTTCATCTTTGTACTGTTTTAAGAAAAAGCAAATACAGATTTGCATTATATTATATGTACTCTGCCCCTTATCAATAGGCCTTCCTCATTCCTCCTTCTGGTACTGAGTTCCCCACTGTATAAATTAATGTTCCTAATCCCCTACTGATGGACATTTTGATTGTTTCCGGTTTTACAAATGCCACAGTGAAGAACTTGGTTGCAAACACATTCAGGCTGTCAAAAGAACTCTGTGCATAAAGTCCTTTCATTTCTTTTCCAGTTTTTTTGAGGCAGATTCCAGAATTGCTGAGTCAAACGGCAAATGCCACATACTTTCGTTAGACGCTGCCAAATCCTCTTCCACGAGGCTGCACCGTTCTGCATTCCACAGTGAGGTGTGAGAGTCCTTGTACCCCACAGCTTCACAAACAAAGCATGACGGCAAACCTGCACGTTTACCAATCACACAGGTAAGACATTTCATCCTAGTTTCACCTTTTTTTTTGGTTAGCATTTTTATTACCAGCTTTTTTTTGGTGTAATGCACAGAAGGTGATGAACACATTCTACCTGCAAGCTTCTTCCTGTGCCTTTGGAATCTGCTCCTGCCAGTCTGCAGGGACCACGGATCTGCTTTCCGTCACACAGGAGGCATTCTCGACACCCTCTGTACACAGCGTGCACTTTTTTATTTGGCTTCTCTTACGCAGCATAGTGACTTTCAGATTTATTCAAGCTGCTGCATGTGCCAACAGTCCACTCCTTCCTAGTGCTGAGGCCCCATCACATAAGCACAACTGTTTCCTCTGCGTGATGTGTTATTCTCTGGCTGTACATTGGTGTACAAAAGATATCATTAAAAAAAAAAAATCTAAATATAATGTAAAACCTGCCTTGCCTTAGGAAAGTTTTTCTGGCAGTGGCTCACACCCATAATCCCAATACTCTGGGAGGCTGAGGCAGGAGGACTGCTTGAGCCCAGGAGTTTGAGCTCAGCCTGGGCAAGATGGTGAAACCCCGTCTCTGTAAAAAATATAAAAATTAGCCAGGCATAGTGGCTCACACCTGTAGTCTCAGCTCCTTGAGAAGCTGAGGCGGGAGGATTGCTGGAGCCCGGGCGGTAGAGGTTGCAGTGAGCCAAGATCACACCACTGCACTCCAGCCTGGGCAGCATGGCAAGACTCTGTCTCTATCAAGAAAAAACACAAAAAATTAATAGAAGGAAAAACAAAAGGTTTTTCTTACCAAAAATACACTTTAAGGAATAAATTTATCATATTAAGTTGGTGCAAAAGTAATGTGGCTTTTACCATTGAAAGTAATGGCAAAAACTGCAATTACTTTTGCACCAACCTAATATTATTTTCTAATGACGAACTTGGAAATAATTGTCATTGTTCTCTAAAAAGAACAGTCTAAAAATAAAGCAGCAGCCCATTTACTTCTACGCCAGTTCTTTTAGTATTTGGCTATTTAAACTGGCGGTCCCTAACCGTTTTGGCACCAGGGACTGGTTTCACGGAACACACTTTTTCCATGGACAAGTGTGGGCATGGTGGGGATGGTCTGGAGATGAAATGGTTCCGCCTCAGATCATGAGCATTAAATTCTCATAAGCGGCACATAACCTAGATCCTTCGCATGCGCAGTTCACAACAGGGTTCCACTCCTATGAGAATCTAATGCCACCACTGATCTGACAG